AAAAGAGACCGGTGAGGGGCCTGTACACTCTGTCAAGAAGCTTGGACTTTATCCTATAGGCGGAAGGAAGCCACTGGGGGACATAAGGATGGAGACGATCCATGTCTTTGGGAACACAAGACACTATGCAACTGTAACAAATAAGATCATAAAATGAGTATCATGTGGTTTTGTGTGTAGGTTACAATATATAAATGATACACAAATCCTCATGACACCCACTGGCAAACACTATCACAAGACGTTAGAAAGAGGAGTAAATTTAGAAACCATTGAATGAATCCAATGTCATTCTACACGTAACTATACAGAGGCTCAGCGTCTGTGCCCTTCCTTGGGTCATAAGTCTACTTATCAGCATTCAGGATTTTGGACTAATTTTCTTATCAGCATTCAGGATTTAGGACTAATTTTCTTTAATTATCAATGCTATCCTGTCAAGCTCTTATGGGAAAAAAAGCCCATTTAAAAAGATCATTCTTCACGAAAGTATTGTACTCTAACACCGATTCTATGTCTTTACAATACATAATATAGGGCATTTCTCTCATCATTACTTAGAATGCTTAAGAAATAATGGTGCCTTCCACTATCTTTCACTGTTTTATTTATTTAGCCAGGAACTAGTAAGTATCAGGCACTGTGCTGACTGAAGGCACAAAGAGAGTAGTAATGAAACTGTTACTAATGACATGAAGGATAATAATGGCCATTATTTACATAACATTTACTTGGTGCCAGACAATATCTCAGTACTCTTCATATAGTAATTCATTTAATCCTCATAAAAACTGGTAGGCTGGAATGGGGAGTGATTGTTTATGGGTATAGGGTTTCTTTTGGGGGATGATAAAGATGTTCTAAAACTAAATTGTGGGAATGGTTTCACCAACTGTAAATATGCTGGAAAACACTGACTTGTACACATTAAATGGGTGAATTTTATGATATATGAATTATTTTTCAATAAGGCTGTTTAAAAAAAGAAAACAGCAAAACCCAGGACATAGATTATGCAGACACTAATCTGAGGCACAGAGAGGTTACATCATTGGTCGAAGGTCAGAAAGCTACTCAGTGACAGAGCTGGGATTTCCAATACAAGCAGTCAAAGATGCAAAGTCTGTATATTAAATACTATGCAATCTCTGACCTGGAAGAACTCACAATCTGGGGCATTTTTATAAACATGAGTCATAAACGTCTTGCCCTTGTATCTAAATTATGCAGATCCATTAAACACAAACTCAGAAAAAAAGAAGTTCACAAAAGAAAGCCAGTAGATGACAGAACGCCAAATATCTTTAGATGCATCATCATTTCTTTTTTTTTTTTTTATTTCTAGGAGAGAGAGAGACAGCGCGAGCAGAGGAGGGTCAGAGAGAGAGGGAGTCACGGACTGAAACAGGCTCCAGGCTCTGAGCTGGCAGTCAGCACAGAGCCCGACGCGGGGCTCGAACCCACGAACCGCGAGATCATGACCTAAGCGAAAGTCGGACGCTTAACCGACTAAGCCACCCAGGCGCCCCAAGATGCATCATCATTCCTAAAGCCTGATTCTGCTCCTGGTGATGCTAATGTAATCAGCGAAAAGTATCAAAAAATATGCTACATTGGAAAAGAGGATGAAGATTGAGGTTTCTCATTGTCCATTAACATGACAAGCTAAAGCTTCCCTGTGTGTCCATGTGCCTGTGCATACGTAAGCATTTGAGGACTTGGGTGTGTGTGTGTGTTTGCTGGAAAATTCCCCTCCTAAATATCATGCCGGTTCTCCACTGTATATCCGGAAGCTGGCGGGGCACAAGGGAGATAAATGGATGATGATGAATGAATGACTCTCAGCTAGTTAAAGAATAGCTTAAATTGACCTCCAACTTCTTGGACTTTAGAGTGGCTCAAATCTAGACCATAAGAAAGGAAAAAGATCTGCACTAGAGGTGTGCAGGCATTAAATGACTTAGTCATTTGGTAAGTGCACCACTTACTCAGGCCACACCTCCAAACCTTTATAGGTCTAGTTCTCACAGAAAATTCCTTTCAAGAACACAAACTATCATTGTCTTGAAATTGTATTTAACTGGTTATGAAAAGGACTGGGTAAGAGGAAATTGGTGGCTGAGCTCAAAATCTGTTCCACTGCAAAAACAAAACCAAAAAAAAAAAAACCCAAAAAAACTCAATACATTCCCAGGAATAGTGATCTAAGAGCAAAGCATTTCCTTAATAGCATAATGTCAACCTGTTAATACAACCAAGATGCAGCAAGCAGAAATAGAAGCTACCTAACCCAGAATGCAGTGGCCACATTTCAGTTTCACAAACCGGCAGAGGTTGCTCAAAAGTCTTCTCAAGAGCATTAATGTGCAAGGACTCTGCTAACTGCTGGATAACTAAGCCATGACCTCTTGTGCTGAAGGAGTTTACAGAATAGGTGTTTCTACCTCCTCAAAATTTTTAGAATTTCTGTGTTATCAGAATTAGCTGAATACTCTTCACATTAGCTAACAAATTACGAATGTGACATTCACCAGGCTGCAAATGGGATTTTTCTCATCTGTGAAAAACCAAAAGAGCTATGTGAAAACTACAAAGGCCGATTTTCGTACTAGAGTTCAACTAAAAAAATGCTAATTATCATTTAAATGACAAAGAAAATAAATTTTAAGAAAGGTAGTAAGTACCAAATAAGTTATATTTAGCTTTTTAACGTTTAAAGTAAAAAGATACACTCTCTTCCCAGATCTGATTCCTCCATCTGCCACAAACTTTAGACATTCTTCTGTTGGCTTACTTATTGTATGTACTACAGGCAGGAGAACCAGATGGTTAAGAGCTAGAATGTTCATACAATGTATTATCCAAACCACAGCACTTGTGAGTGAATAAAGTCGTAATAATTACATTGGGGCAGCAGAAGTAACCTGGGACCTTCCCAGGCAAACTGAGATATAGTGTCACCCTATTCAAAATCTCTTCTCTGATGTCAGAATTTGATCTGGGCAGCGAGAAACGATTGAAGGCTTTTGAATAGTGTTTGTTAAATGCCCATCAGTTCAGGAAGTTGAGCACAGAAGTGAGGTTTGGCCCAAACAGATCAGAAAGAGATTGAGCATAGGAAAACCCATGGAAACGTTTTTATGGCACCGACACTAGGAAAGAAACAAAGGGCTTGGCTAGAATGGTGTCAACAAAAAGAGAAAATGTATAGGAAAGATTGGCAGTTAAAGAAATCAGATAGGTTATGCTACGAGTCCAAGTAGTTGAAAAATATTACACACATCTCAAAGGACTTGACACGTCAACCCAGGCATAGCAGAGCACCTGATTGTAGGAAAAACCAAGGAGCTCCGATTCTAGGGCAAAAGCTGTTTGCTCCCAATCTATTCTCACCCTTCCTGTTCCATCAGTGCCAGGCTCACAGGTGTGCGCTTCATTCCAAGGAGAAGCGGAGCCCTCCACAGACCACTTGCTAAGGGAAGCCAAGAATTTCCTTCACTGGCAGGGTAATAAACTGCCACCAACAATTGCTCCAGACACCACTTGGTGGCACCAGTACCCTGAAATGATTGAAATGTAACCTGCTATTCTAAATCTTAAACAGGAAACTTTGGACTCATAAAAAAGGTCTTCAGCCAACCCTCAAAGTTCAATGGTTTTTCATGAGTATCTGACTGCTCCCAGAACTTTCACGTCCTCATTTATCTCAATCGTTGGAAATCCTGAAAACTAGAAGATGAGAATGTTTTATTTTAATGACTTCTCATTATTTCAAACATTCCTTTGTAGGCATATACACCTATAATTTGCATAAATGTGACCACCCCAGATGTTTCTCATGTTAGGCTTTTCCTTTCTTGTTTATTTTCCTCATGCACCACCCCTGTAATTCCTCCTAACCCCTTCCAGACAACACATCTTAACAACTTGGTATGTATCCGTCCATGCTTGTTTCCATCACCATACGACCTTATACAAACGAATGTACAGACAAGAGATAAATGTATACATATAAAAGCGTTTTAGATCAAGGATTTAGAAAATGGGCTCTCATATTCTTTTACACATCTTGCTTCTCTCCCTCCACAGTATCTGATGGTAATCCTTCTAAGCAACTAGTATTGCTCCAATTCACTCTTTTTGGGAGGTTGCATAATAGTACATGATATAGACATACATTAACGTATTCAACGACAGGCCTTTGGTAAAGGGTACTTACTTGATTTCAAATTTTTTATTGTTGATTTGCCACAATAAATCACGTTGCTGTGGAAATCCTGTGTTTATATCCTGTATAGTAGCGTTCCTGTCTCTAGGAGTTAGGTTCCCAAGAGTGAATGCTGGATTGAAGGGTAAGTATACACTTTCAGTTTTTAAGAATTGTTGCTAGATTTACATTTAAAAAGCTCTTTAAGGGGCGCCTGGGTGGCTTAGTCGGTTAAGAGTCCGACTTTCGCTTAGGTCATGATCTCGCGGTTCGTGGGTTCGAGCCCCGCGTCGGGCTCTGTGCTGACTGCCAGCTCAGAGCCTGGAGCCTGTTTCAGTCTGAGACTCCCTCTCTCTCTGACCCTCCCCTGCTCGCGCTGTCTCTCTCTCTCCTAGAAATAAGTAAAATATTAAAAAAAAATAAAATAAAAAGCTCTTTAAAATCCCCATTTCCACCAGCAATACATGAAAAGTGCCCTTTTCCTCCCATCTCCACTAGCCATGTGCCTTGTTGCCTTTTTTCTTTTGCCAGCCTGACAGATATAAAGTGAGATAACATCATTATTTAACTTTTTGTTTTCCCAACTAGTTGTGATTTTGAGCTCCTTCCAGGACTTTTAGACATTCTGATTTGATTCTTCACAGCTCTTGCCCAAAGCAAGGGCATTTTACAGGGGGGTTTGCTTAGTAAATAAGCTATAAAAATATTGCTAAAATATTACAAAAAATAGAAAAATAGGTTTTATCATGGTCACCATTATCTATATTTGATAGCTAACCCTAAAAACACTTGGATGCTTGCTTCAGCAGACTATATATACTAAAATTAGAACAATACAGAGAAGATTAGCCCGGCCTCTGTGTAAGGATGACATGCAAATTTGTAAAGCATTTCCTATCTTAAAAATACATTCATACATGCATGCATACATACATAAAAGCACTGGGATGCCAGAAAATAGTCTTGTGAGTACTATTCAATTCTGGAATGTCAGCTTTAAGAAAAGATGATGGTTATTTTTCTCCTCATAAGGAATTGTCTCACTCTTTTCATATTTCTCTGCATAAGGAATTGAGTGCTTTGCTTCTGATTGGACGTCGTACTGCTGTATATGTTTAAGTAGGAGTTGGTATTAAATAGAACCAGCCCATTTATTTGAGTGTCATTCAAAATACTTGCTTTAAAAAAAAAAAAAGAACAAAAATCAGTAGGGAAAGAAATTGTATTTTTAAGCTTCTAAGAAGATTTTATAAACAATGTAGCCTAGAGAACAAAAAAACTCATAAAATGACTTGACAGAGTCCTTTTAAGTGAACATATGTGAGTTTATGCATCCATATGTGTTCACATATGTCCTACATATGCACAGCCAGCTGCTAACCAACCAGATTGTTCGATGTGTATGTTTACTGTAAAACAAGCAGAAAGTGTTTGGTCTCTTTGTTAGAGAAACAGCTCATAATTTCAAGTATACAAATGTCAGTTGTTTCTCCTTTCTTTTTTTTCCAAGCCAAATGAACTGTTGATGCCCAATTTAGCAGGATCCTAGCTGAGGCTGACTCTTGGCCAGCTGCAGAAACCCAGCCCCAAGGTTCGGGAAATTTTTACAAGAATAAGGGGCTTTTCCTAATGGCTCCTCAAACCATAGGAAGTTTCCTTAGAGCCTCAGCCAGTTTCTTCCCACTCAATATCTCAAAGGATAATCACTAATGTTCTTTGGATACTAATGGGTGGACTTAGTGTGTAAATTGAGACTATCAAGTTCTCCCCTACTTTGGTCAACTACTCTTTCAAGGCCCACTGTTAACAGAAAGCATCTTGGGATGTAGAGATAATTTCTGTGACAACAACTTTATCTATGGTTCCTCAGTATCTCATAATTTCAGCCTTTATGGCAGTGCTCTGCAGCTTACAATGGGGAGTGAAATTTGGCCCAATTTCCAGTTGAAGATGGAGTCTTTGGACCAGTTAGACCTCTACTTCTGCAATCAGCACATTAAACCCAATGATCACTCTTAGTATCCCCTAATACTCACATTAATATTCTCTGAATAGCAGAAAGAAAAAGATGTAAGGAAGCAGGCTATAGGGAAAAGGGTTTATGCTCTGGAGTGGAAGAGTTTGTCCAATCCTGGCTGTCATTATCTGGCTCTGTGGCCTTAGTAGCTCCACACTTCCAACTTCATTCAGTTTCCCCATCAGCTATGTGGGAATAGTAATGCCAATTTCCTAAGTTTCTGGTGAAGATGAAATGAGATAGCCTATATAAAGAACAATGCACAGTTCTGGGGACATATTAAATGCTCAATAGTTATGAATTCCCTTCCTCTCCATCTCTACTTTCCTCCCTCTAGACTCAGCAAAAAGGGAGAGATGTGAGAACCAAGAATATATCTTAGCCAAGGAGATAATCCCAAAGTCCCAAATCCCAAGCATAGGGTGTTGGTGTTAGAACAGAGGCTCAATTCAACAGAAAAAAAAAACAATTTTTTTAATGTTGTGTTTTGATATCATTGAGACTAGACTGATAAATATGTGTGTGTGCTCATAAATGCATACTCATTTATTTAACATCTACTGTGTGCCTAGAACAGTGCTTGCCATAAGTGTCCATAAATACTTCTTAAATAAGTGAATGAAGACCAAGCCCTTAAAGCACCATCATAATTTCTTCATAGATGCTCAGTTTCCTGGGATTATCTTTATTGGTGATGATTCTCTGCTTTCTAAAGTGAATGTCATGATAAGGAAGAAGTATGAATATCTTCTGTCATTGTTTTACTCAGCCCCCAAAACAACTAGAAGTATCCAATCCACTTTCCAGTCGGCCAGCACAGTCTCCTTCTACATCTAGCCACCTCTCATTCCTTCTTCTCCTTCCTCCATTGAACCTTCCTAAAGCTGTCCAGTATTTTACCACAACTGAAAAACACAACTCCTATTGCTGCAAGTGTCCATGTGTTTGGGGCAAAATGAGCCACTGTTGACAATTGTAAAGAAAGAGAGAACAGCTGTTTGCATCTGGATATGGGGTAAGAAAGAGAGAACAGCTGGTGGCAGCTGTGGCAGACAAGAAAGTGAGCTAGCGAGCAGCTGCTGGTAATTCAGAATCTACTAGACTGCCCAGAATAATTGAAATCCAGAAGAAGCATGCAAGACTTGACTTAACTGCTCTACTGTATCCTGCTCTTCATTAGATCTTACTTGTCTTTCATTAGAGACATTCCCATGATAGCCGTATGAGGATTCCCACTAGGAATATCAACCCCTCCTCCCCACCCATAACCCTTTAGAGAATCAAACCAGGAAAGGTAAGATGGTACAGGCATTACTTCCAGTAAACCCATGCTCATTTTTACAAGAAGGAATCAGTCTGTGGTGGACAAGGGAAGGAATCTTACCAATGATGGATCTATCACAAAAATGGGCAAAAATAATTCTTTCTATATGACAAGAGATTATGGTCATTTTGATGATGATCCCACACTTCAGAAGTCAGTAGGCTAACATAAAAATGTGGTAACTTAAGTGTAATATAAGCCTAGAAAAATACATTTTAAAACCTTGTCGGTGGTTTCAATGTTTCTTTTTTTATATGCATGCAATCTTGTGAATGTGTATACATGGATATATTTCCCTCTATTTTCTTTCTTCTTTTTAGTAAAAAGAGGAGAAAGACATTTTTGTATCATGCATCTGGTGACAAAATGTTTGGCTTGTTTTTGAGCTTCCCACTGGTTCTTCTAGTCATCTGGAATTCTAAGATAAACTGAGTGGCCCAAAACTATGTCATCTATTTTTCATTTTGCTCAAGACAGAAGTAAAGCATCTCATCACTCCAATATATAGAATTTCAACTCTTTAGTTTCTAAGGTAAAGTTCAAGAGAAGAAAAAAGAAACTACTACAATGTCATATATTAATGAATTATATACAACTATCTGCCCACCAAGAAAGAATAATTAAACACATTATACGTCAAGCTATCTGCATTTGCAGAAATGATAATTTTGCAGATACTGATAAGAAAAATGCTTGTGAGGTAGCATTCATGGAGAAGAGTCTGCTAAGAGCATTCATACATGAAAAGTTAATGCAAAATAAATACCAACACTAAAACTAAGGTAAAAATACAGGCATAGGACAATGATATCAAAGGAACTTGTTAAAAGAGAAGAAGCCAAGGGGGACCTGGGTGGCTCAGTTGGTTAAGTGTCAGACTTTTGATTTGGGGGCAGGTCATGATCTCATGGCTGGTGGGATTGATCCCTGGATCGGGGATTCTCTCTCTCTCTCTCTTTGCCCCTTGCCTGCTCATACATACTTGTGCTCTCTTTCTCTCTCAAAAAAAATAAATAAACGTGGGGAAAAAAAAGAAGAAGCCAAAAGGTGATAGCAGAGGAGGAATTTTAAATCTTATTTCTTTTAATGTTTTTTTTTGGTTGATAAATTACATTAATATAAAAGATCTAAATAATAATTAAACTATTACAAAAATCACCAATAAGATCACTAAACTATAAGCTCTATTAAGATTTGGTTGTTCCCTGTTTTTGATCACCTTTATCTCCAATGCTTACTGCAGTGCCTAATTACCAATAAATCTTTGTTGAATGAAGTAAATGAAATGAGTAAATCATCTGCATTTGTAAATGACACTTGTAAAAGTGCCAATGAAACACTTCCACCAATGGCATATGTGTGACTGAGGAAAGAAGACCTGCTCTCCTCTAAACTTCAATTAGAAACATCCCTGGGGCGCCTGGGTGGCTCAGTCGGTTAGGCATCCAGGCTAATGTCCAAGCTGGAGCCTGCTTCAGATTCTGTGTCTCCCTCTCTCTCTGCCCCTCCTCCACTCATGCTCTGTCTCTCTCCATCTCTCAAAAATGAATAAACATTAAAAATTTTTTTAAAAAGAAAAGGGAAAAAAAAAACATCCCTGAAGATGTGCACTCATGGCATTTTGAAATCGGCTCTCTCCCGGTGAAACATGTGGTCCAGCCAGACCTCATGAGCCCCCAGATTCTGAATTGGAAGGGACAGAGAAACTGACCAATCCAAATGTGCTTCCAACTCTAAGATACGATTCTGTGACTTGGATTAGGAGAAAAGGGAGAGGAAGGAGTTGCCAAACGACTAATATCACAAACACCAGGCCCTTAATTTACCAACCAGAATGGCCCTCTACCAAGTTCCCAGATGTGTTGTTCTCCAGGTAAGTAGCTTTCTTCAAAGCAAGTGTGATTAACATTTCTATCCACAGCTCCTCTCTCTCAAGTCCAGGCTTTGTTCCCAGATTTGGCATTGAAAGAAGTGCTTGAGTTTTAAATAAGGTGGTGAGAGTGTAAGATGCCATTCAGTCTTGATTTTACTGTCCCATATTCTGCAACATTAAACTCCACAGATTAAAGACTTCTCACGATGTCAAGGGCTGCCTTTGAATCGGCCTTGACTACTAACCTCCTCCCTGGGGAAATTGTGATATACTCATCATTCCAATATGAACATCTTTATACAAAGTCTGTTTTCCAGATATTTTGAACCCTCCCCAAGCCCTGCTTATATAAAGTGTGAATGTTCCATGTTAATGTAAAGTACTCCTTCTCTCTGAGCATGGAGTAACTCAAGACCCTGACAAACTTGTATGTCATCCAAAATATGTTTGCGGATTTTTCCCTCTTGCCTATAAAATAGCATTAAAGGAAATGTCCTGCTCCATAAATATAACTGTCAAGTGTTTAAATGACTTGCACTTCATCATCATCATCACCAAAATCATAAACTGCCCTTTTTGTCCAGGGCTGGAACTATAGTATACTCGGCATATTTAAAAGATATTTGAAGAACACACTGAGAAGATGTAGCCACTAAGTTTTTACCAACCTTCCCTAAAGAGACCATAA